CCTACTTTGAACCACAGGCGTCACTGATAGCTTCTATTTTAAAAAGCTTTCCCTGAGAGAGTGAGTGGAACAGGGTGTGGACACTGCCCCAGGGTGCTGCCTCTGGGCACTGACAGAAGCCAGCTTTGTCCTTCTCATGGATGTTTGAACTTGTGATTCCAAGCTCCAAAGGGAGGACACTGGCCTTATCACTCTTCCATCTCCCGGCCTAAGGGCATGGCCTGGGAGGCCCCAGGGCACCCTGGACAGGAAGGGGGACACCCAAAGCAGGGGTGCTGTGGCATTTGGCCTGAGGGCCCCGCCAGGGCTGCCTGTGGAGAGTACCAGGGAGTCCCCACTGGTGGACATGTTCTTTATTCCACTTCTAAAATGTGTCCTCAGCGTGAGTGTGTGCAGCCGGGGTCTTGTGGTTAGAAGATTTTGCTTGGACTTTGTTTTGGGGGATGATTAAGCCAAACCTGTAACCACTAGGAGCATTTGCAAAGCTCTTCTCCCCACTACCCTGAGGGCTGGTGAGAAATGGTGTCCTCCTGCCAGGGCAGAGAGAGCCAAGGTACACGATGTCACCCCTTCTGCAGCTGCTTCCTCAGACCACGTCTCTGAGATGCACAGACACCATGTCCACAGCCAGGGCACTCCACAGGCTGGGGCTTCCCCATGCTTTGTGGGTGCCAAACCTGTCCCAGGAATACCGGCTTTGGCCTGGGGTTGCTCCCTGGAAGGAGTGTGTCTTCCAGATCTGAGTCCCAAAGGGTTGTGCTACAGCTGAGGTCAGAATTCCATCAGGAAGTTCTGGGTACCTTTTGAGGTAGCCTGGCCAGGAGCTGCATGGGATGGTGAGGTGGCCTCCCAGGATGTGTGGCCCTGAGGCAGACATGTTGCCTTTGTAGAGTTAACCCAGGTTGACAGGGTCAGGTGGCTGTGTTATGCCTGTCTGCAGAGACCCAACCCCTTTAATTCTATTTTCCAGTCATTGAGTCGGGTATAGCGGGAGGCTTTGTGTTTGCAGCCAGGACAGCGGCAGAGGTTCCAGTGCCCTGACCCAGCCTCCCTCTGGTCTTGTTGTGCCCAACTCCCACCCCGACTCCCAACCCCTCCGTGGAGGTGTGTGCCCAGGTGGAGGGTGGAGCTCCTGGAGACAGGGAGAGCAGCACACGCAGTCCAGGCACTGTGTGGTCATATGCCCGGCAGCCCTGCTCCACACCAGTCCCACAAGTCAAGATGACAGGTGCCTGTCGTCAGCCTGTTGACATTTAGCTAAGTCCCCAGAAGCTCATCTTGACCTGGGAATAAGTTGTGAGCAGGCTCCCAGCTAGTTCACAGACACCAGCTGTCTGCCTGGGCAGTGGGCTGGGCCAGGTCCATGCAGAGGGGGTTGCAGAGGTGATGCGGCTGCATTTCGGTCTGAGGCCTGCATTCTGGGTCAGCCTAACGAGTAGGGGCCTGGGTCAGCCACCTCTCTTCTCTGGATTTTGGGGTCCTGACCGCGTCCATCTCCAGCACACCTGGGCTTTCCTCTCCTTTGGGGGTGGTGGCTCTGGGTGTGTCCCCTATGATAACTCAAGTCTGTCTTCTACTCCTTTGGGGTGGTGGCTCTGGTGTGTCCCCTATGAGAGAGATGAGAGATAACCCAAGTCTGTTTTTCCCACTTTCCCCACCAGGGCGAGAGCAGTTCCATGGCCTGGGCTCGATGTACTGCCGGGGTGCGGTCGCTGTCATCCTCACCTATGATGTGAGCCACCCACAGAGCCTGGCTGAGCTGGAGGACAGGTTCCTCGGCCTCACAGACACAGCCAGCAAGGACTGCCTCTTCGCCATCGTGGGGAACAAGGTGGACCTCACCGAGGAGGGGGCCCCGGAGGGCCGGGAGGGGGAAGGGTGCAGCCCTAGGCAGGCCGGTGGTGGCCCTACCTCCCCCAGGGTGCCCAAGCAGGTGCGACTGGAGGACGCCATGGCCTTTTATAAGAAAATCCTCAAGTATAAGACGCTGGATGAGAAGAACGTACCAGCCGCTGAACAAATGTGCTTCGAGACCAGCGCCAAGACGGGGCACAACGTGGACCTCCTGTTTGAGACCCTGTTTGACATGGTCGTGCCTATGATCTTGCGGCAGAGAGCAGAGGAGCTGTCGCAGACCGTGGACATAACCAGTTACAAGCCGCCCAAACGGACCAGATCTGGGTGCTGTGCCTGAGGCGCTGGGCAACCCTGACTCACGGCCTGTGTGCATGGGAAGGGTCTGACCAGGCAAGCTGTGGTCTGAAGCACACATGGGCAGAGCGCTGAAGAGCAAGGTGACAGTTGGTTACAAGAGAAGCTCCGTGTGGACAGAGCCTCTTCAGGCTCCTTTGGAAACTTGCATCCCCTGCAAACCCTGTGGCAGCCAGGCCCTCGGCTGCTGCCCCACACGGGGCCTTCACAGTGACGTCCTGGGTGCCCTCCTGGTGCACCTGCCTGTCTCCGCCCTGGGCTGTTAGCACATGGAGTCGCTTCTGTGTTTTTGTCACTCTAGAGTGCTGGTTTTCACTGTGAGTTCTCTGGTCTTCCCACTTGGAACTGTACCCAGACACATTATGGTAGTGATTCTCACCATGTTACTTTATATGAAATCAGGAAAACTCTTTTTATATTGATTGCAGCATCGTAGCCTATACATATTATTAAAGAGGATTTTGGGAAAAACCTTGGTGTTGACTGAACTAATTTGGGCTTTATTAGTGCCTCTGGGGGACCCCTGGCTGGGGGCATTAGGGACATAGTTGTGACCTTGGGATACTTCTTTCTGTAAAAGCTACATCATATGCTTGAAGATTCCAGAATACTTAGCTCGATCCATCTGCCT